AGAGAAAAATTAAAATTTATTGTTATTTTGCTCATGTTTGATGGAAATTAAAATCAATTTTTTGGTAAATTTTAATAAAAGTTAAATAGTTATGGATTCCATGAAATATGTTATTAAAATTAAGTGTTAACTTTAATTTAGATTAAAATTTATATTTCAATCGATACCAAACATGACTTTATATTCAAAAAAACACTCAAAATTGAGGGGGCACGTGCTCCCCAGGACCTCGGGTCCGCCCCTGTGTGTGTATTTATCTATGTGCATATATAGTGCATGAAAATAGAAAAAAGAAAATGAGGATGTATGCCTTGAATTATTCTTGTTTCAATTTCATGGCATAGGGTTTGACTATTGACTAGAAAAAAATGAGGATGTATGACTTGAATTATTCTCTCATTTTTTTAGTACTAGAAAGATACCATTAAAACTCTGCAAATTATTTAATAGTGTTGGGATCAAGAAAAAAAAATANACTATTGACTAGAAAAAAATGAGGATGTATGACTTGAATTATTCTCTCATTTTTTTAGTACTAGAAAGATACCATTAAAACTCCGCAAATTATTTAATAGCGTTGGGATCAAGAAAAAAAAATATTAATTTAGCGAATATTAAATAATCTATAAATTGATAATTAACTAATAACTTATTAAGTTATCAAGCTATTCCTTATTTTCTTAAATATATCGTTTGCATATCCAATGATGGTTTGAAATAGATCTAAATTGTGATTTTCAAAGATTTTAAGTGTGATTGAAATCAAGTGATCACACAAGTCGTTCCAACGTAGTCCAGTAATAAGCCCAATTTCGATTTCCAAAGATTTTAAGTATGATTGCAGAAAGTTCAATGAAAGCAAATTTGAGTATGTTAACTATACTAGTAATTTTTATCGTCAACGGTATCTAATGCTCAAACTAATTACTCTTCAATTCAATATCTAATGGACATAGCGTGTTTGGCTAAGCTTATAAGGTGCATATATACGAGCACGTTATTTGAGAAGTATCAAGCCTAGCCAAACATGTTCAATTATTAATTATTAATAAATATGAAGCAAGCCTTTTTGGATAGTTGCAAAAGTGATAGAGCCCAAAAAGAAAAGATAAACCAGGTTTAACCCAGTTTTCTAAAAGTCATTTTCAATCACATATTTTTTTAATAAAATATTTTTGCACGTGGACATCTAACTTGTTCATATTTTGTAACTACCATTCTAAAAGAAAATCACTTTTCTTAGAATCTATTCCCAAAAATTTCATTTAAACACGGACTTAAATCTTATCTGACTCGAAACTAAGTACATGTCATGAGAATCGATTTTGTATTGCACTAGAATGCGCATGTGTTCATAACGACCTGGCAACTAGACACCAATTTGACACATATTTCCATGCTCGATGCACACTCCTAAGCCACTCTAGCACACCTTCTCCACGGGCTAAGCTTTTGACTGCTGCATTAATAGGGCAAAACCCCTTTATAAATAACTTTAAACCTCTCCTTTACTCTCCATACACACACCTTTAATCTTCTTCCCATAGAAGGGTGTCTAAATTTTCCCTTTGCCTCAATTTTGTAATTGCAAAATGATTTCTTTCTTAGAGAATATTAGCTTCAAGTACAAGCTGCTCCACGATCTTCCTGGAGATGGCAGTATTCTTCATAGTCATCTGCATAATATGCCGATATTAAAAGCTGAAGATGGGGATGGGGATGACGACGACGACGATGATGGTGACTACGACTACGCTCCGGCTGCATAATCGGAAGGTTTTGGTAATGGAAAAAAAGGTCAGACTCCAGTCGCTTAAATAAAATTTGAGGTGGTTTCATGGAAACCCTAGTTTTGGTCAGAACATGCCCTAGTTTTTGGTTATCATATATTTAAATGATGTCACTAAGGTAGTACCTGAATTTTCAGTCTTACGTTGTACACTTGTACTAGTTTTTTAAAGGATATTGCCTNTAAATGATGTCACTAAGGTAGTACCTGAATTTTCAGTCTTACGTTGCACACTTGTACTAGGTTTTTAAAGGATATTGACTACATTTGAGAGGGTTTGTTTACAGAAGTTTCTGAACCTTGCTTTTGCTTATTTGCAATTCCCTTCCCTCTGCTTTTTCTTGCTGTCAAACAAGAAAATTAAACGAGGAGTTTATGGAATATGGAAGAGAAGATAATTGCAAGATAAGCATAATCACTACAGTTTGATGGATGAAAAAATTAATATGTTTTTGTAGCATTTGATTTGTTAACATCTTTAGCTCTTTTAGGTTTGTATTCTCAATTATCTCAAGAATTTCAAAATAAGAATTTATTAATTATGGATTTTTGCATATGGAGATATGAGCAATCTGGAAATCGTGTAAATCATTATTATATTTTCCTTTTGAAATCTGCGTAGAGATGCACGGATTTTTCTGTTTTTCAAACAGTAATTGTCCATTAAGGATAATAAATTATTCTAAAAATAATCTTATAAGAAAAATTAAATGGCCTATAAGAATAAAAATAGTAGAAAAATAATGAGCTGGTAGAAAAAAAGGGTAATTGATCTTGTTTATCGAGCATGAATTCTCAAAATGTGTGTGTGGATGGATGGGGAAAATGTTAAAAGGGAAAAATATTCATGTCCTATTAAAAAAATTCTAAATTTCTGTATAGCTTAAGAAAATTTTCAAAAATGTTGGCGAAGTGGTCGCCACCCCTTCGCCTTGTGGTTCCGCCATTATGTGGGCATTTGATGCTTTTCGGAAAAAAAGGTATTTCAAATAATTTTTTTTTTTTTTAAGAAAGAAAAAAGTGGTATCTCTTACACTACAACAAAACCCTCTTCCGCAACACTTATTTGGCAACATTCACTAATTAAATGTTGTTAAAATGGTCTATTGCAACATTCTAATAAGTGAATGTTGCCACTGATGTTAATAATTGAGTTTTGGCAACATTTTTTAAGTAAATGTTGCGAACGTCGCCTTTTTGCAACGTTTATTTAGTGTTGCAAAAAGTTTTATCTTTCCCAACGTTTATCAAACCTTGTAAAAATGTTCATCTTTGGCAACGTTTGTCAAACATTGTAGAAACTAACTTTTGGCAGCGTTCAAGTGAACGTTGTTGAAACTCTCTTTTGCAACGTTTTATAAAAAAATGTTCACTTCAAAAAAATCTCTCATTCTTCTCCGATTTTCATGTACAAATCGCTCACACCAGTCACCATTTCTCAGTCGCCCACCCTGTAGTTGATCTCCCATAGCCAGAGGTCGTGAATCTCATCCAATTTTTGCCTTAATCGTGATGAAGACTGCGATACATACGGTCAATTTTTTTGCATTTTATTCTGTAACTTTGTTCTTTCTTTCATTTTTCACATAAGATTTTCGTTATTTCTCATGGGTTCTATTGTTATGTGTTCTATTTTTCAAATCTTACATCTTCAGTAGGTTGTAATGTTGTTAATGCTGATCGAAGGATCGAAGCTATTGGCTTTCAGGTCGATCACCAACTATTTGAAAGGTAAGTTTCATTGCAACACTTTCGATTTATGCAATTACTAATTAGATTTCAGTCCATTTTCATTTGATTGAAATATGCCATAGATAAATTTGATTTGAAATGGTACTTGAGTTGTGGTAGTTTAGGATTTATTGGGTTCCCAGGTTATGTCAGAAATTTTAAACATAGGAGGAGTAACATTGCGGTTTATGCAGTAAGTAGGGTTGGCCTTGTCTTTGTTTCTTTTGGTGGACGAAGGGTGGATGAATAAGGCAATGACCAAAAGCAAATGATAACAAATAATTATAAACAAGTATCCTATTCCAACATGCTTTTCTCGAAATCATTTCCAATGACATAACACTTTTGCACTTACTTTCTTTTTATTCTACCTATGCAATAAAGCAATAATTAATAAGAGTTTCAACATGTCATTTTCTTTATTCTTGTTACTGCATTTAGTTCATTGTTGTTGAATTGCTATGTGTTGCTTACATCTCTCAGAATGTAGGAATTGATTAGTGGATGTAGGAAACATTATTTGCAGTACCTGATATTGACACATTTCCATTTTGTAATCCCTTATTGTGGAAACTAGAGCTACATTATATAAGCTTATGATCTTTGTTAGTATTAGACTTCGTTGATTAAAATATGTTTCTGGATTTATTATATTAGACTTCTTTGCTGACTTGTCTGGTTGAGATTGGCTCTTAGGAGACTTCAATTTTGCCACACATTGTTGCCTATATGTCAATTGAAGATGGATGTTGTTTCGATTTTATTTGGTGATTTAAGTTTTTTGGGCAAAAATGAACTTTGTCATGGTTGAGAGAAAAATTTAAGAAACTGCAAATGGGGATCTTGAAAATCTTTGCTGTTATGTAGAGAATGGGAAAGCTAATTATCTAGTTTAATTTTGAATGGTGTAATGCGTATTCTTGCAAGGGAGATAATCTCTCTTTAATCTGTTAATGATATTAGCTTTTAACTATAATAGATGTCGTTTCTACATGTCATATAACAAGTTTGGAACTCTT